ACAGAGAATCCCCAGCAGGCTCTGCACTCCCAGTGTGGAGTCCTGTGTGGGGCTCAGACCCATGAACCATGAAACCATGGCCTGAGCCAAAATCAAGAGTCAGATGCTCAACCGACTGAGCCACCCAGGTGCCCCCAAAACACATTTTTTCCAGAGTCCTCACCACTTTGACTTTCCTGGCGCACAAAGTTCTCATGCGGATCAGCTCACTTTTGCATAAAGATATTACCCTCCCCCACTTTTTCTCTGCCAATAACAAACTTAGGAAATACACACAATGGTGATGCCGAAACCTTCAGGGTTTGCCTGTTGGAAATAGGAAAGTCAGCTTCCCTTAGGAAATAGCTATAGAGTTTGAGCTTTCTTTGATCCTTAATATTTGAACATAATTCTGAAGGTTCTGGGATGGTGGGGTTGCCACAATTTATTTTCCTATTAGCAATGGATATAGTGAGCCACTAACCATGATTTGGTAAGAAATTGAAAAAGTTTCCAGCATACTATGTTAATATTTTAATAATTTCACTGCTTTAGAATTCTTGCTTACAGCTCTTTAGCGTACTATTTAGCTAGGGGCACCTGGGTGGCTCAGTTGGTTGAGCATCTAACTTCAGCTCAGGTCATGATCTCACGGTTCGTGGGTTTGAGCCCCGCATCGGGCTCTGCACTGACAGTAGGGAGCCTGCTTGGGAGCCTCTCTTTCTGCCCCTCCCCCACTCATCCTTTTTCTCTCTCTCTCTCAAAATAAGTAAACTTAAATAAATAACTATGTAGCTATTCAGTTTTATCCGGGAAACTTCTAGTACCACGAACTTGTTTTCTATCTCTTTCTTTTTTTTCCCAGAATGCCCCCTTTTCTTTTTCAACTTTTAAAGAGGTTTTTTTTCCCCCCTGATTAGAAATGCAGTGTACATTCAAGGTAGAAAAGATGTGAAACACATATTATTTTTAAAAATTAAAGTTGCTAGGGGCATCTGGGTGGCTCAGTCGGTTAAATGTCCGACTCTTGATTTGGGCTTAGGTCATGGTCTCCCAGTTCATGGGATCAAGCCCCGCATGCTTGGGATTCTCTCTCTCGCCCTCTCTGCCCCTCCCCTGCTCATTCACTTGTGTGCTCTCTCTCTCCCTCTCTCTCTCTCAAAATAAACATTTTTTTAAAAAAATTAAAGTTACTAGTATTCTTACCTCCCAGACATAAAAATTGTGACCATTTTGATGGATTTTCTTTTTTGATGGACTTCCTTTGTTTCTATGTTTATGTATGGTATGCCTTCCACCCCAGTTATAGAGTTGGGTTTGAATTGAACATGCTGTTTTCTGTTTATATGTTCTATTTCTTTTTAAATCTTTGCACCTTGCCTGGCTGCTGCCCTCTATATACACATATACATGCCTATGTACACACACACACACACACACACACACACACACACACACGTGCATATTTGCATTTTTTTGTAACAAACCACAACAGCAAAATGTGTTCCTTGCAACAAACTATCTATAGGATGGTACAAAAACCAAGCCAATCATCTCCAGCCCCCTCCCTATTCTCATCCTACCCAAGGTTAGTAATGTTAAGTTTTCTCTGCGTTCATACTAACATACATAGGCTCAAAAAATAACAGAAAAGTTTTTTTTCCTATTTTTCTCATAATTGTATCACACTATGTATATTTCTCTGTAAGTTGCTCTTACGATGCTGTGTATTAACAGTACTGCAGGTGAATACAGCTATCTCTAACTTTCTGCTTAAGCAAAAGGTAGTAGGATGAACATACCACACGTTATTCGACCATCTCCCTACTCGTGGACGTGCAGGTTGCTCCGTTTTCGTTTGCCGTTACAAACGGCAGCGGTAAACGTCCTACCTGATCGCTCACGTTCAGTTGTGCTTTCGGAGTTTCAGCGAGTGGCCGTGGCTGGTACTGGCATAGTTTGAGATTACTTTTTCGACACGGTAGTCTCACACGTGGTGTGCATCCCCACCATCACCAATCCTGGGTGTTAGCAATCTTTCCAAGTTTTGTCAAGCTGGCGAGGGAAATGAGCCATCTGGTCTGTGTGCATTTCGCCAGCTGGTGTTTTCATCTGCCTTTCTGTGGCGTCTCTATATAGACTTGTTGGTGATTTGCATTTCTCTTGTCTGTGAACCTTAAACGCATCCTCCCTCACTTCCCTCCTTGGATTGTTGGGCACTGGAGACACGAACCCCATGTCTGTCACATATTGCTGAGTTTTCTTCCCTCCTGTCCTCTGTCTGGGGACTGTTCTTGCAATGCCATCACCATACAAAAAAAAACTATCTTTTTCTATAGTCAGAATCTTCTGTTGCTTCACTTGTGGCTCCTGTTTTATCTAGGACAGGTCCTCTCTTCCCCTGAGATGAAAAAAGGGTTTTTTTCCTTTAATATTTTTGTGGTGTGTTTTTAGTTAGCAAGTTACTGCAGCAAAAATTCCTAGCTATGCCCATAGGACATGGGAATTTGGTGGCTCACACGTGCAGGACCATTTGTTAAATAAAATATTCTTTTCCTCGGAATGGAAATCCTAATTTCACCTGTAGACCAAGTTCTCGAATACACTTGGGTCTGCTTCTGGAAACTCTGATTTGTCTCACTGATCTTTAATGTCTTTTCTGGTTTGCCGGCAGCACAGACTTTATTATATTAGCTCTAAGATAAGCCTTACTGTCTTTTAGAATCACAAAGCCTCCCTCAGCTATTCTGTTCCAAGATTTTCTTAGCGATTCTTAGATATTCTTTCTTCCAAATGAGCTGTTGTTTGTTTGTACTATACAGTACTTCTCAGCTCCCCTCCCCAAGAAAGAAACCTTTTGAGAATTTTTATTAGAAATGTGTTGGGGCGCCCGGGTGGCTCAGTCAGTTAAGCGTCTGACTTCAGCTCAGGTCATGATCTGACGGTCCGTGAGTTCGAGCCCCGTGTCGGGCTCTGTGCTGACAGCTCAGAGCCTGGAGCCTGTTTCGGATTCTGTGTCTCCCTCTTTCTCTCTCCTCCCCCGCTCATGCTCTGTCTCTCTCTTCTCAAAAATAAATGAATGTTAAAAAATTAAAAAAGAAAAAAAAAGAAATGTGTCAATGTGATATTGCACCTATAAACAGAATGACTTTTTAAAACATGTTAACTCTTACACCCAAAAACCTTTATTCAAATCCTGTGGTAACCGTTATTCAATAAAATCATATGGTGGCTCAGCCAGTTAAGCGTCGACTTAGGCTCAGGTCATGATCTCATGATTTGTGAATTCGAGCCCCACATCGGGCTCTCTGCTGTCAGCACAGGACCCGCTTCGGATCCTCTGTCCCTCTCTCTCTCTCTCTCTCTCTCTGCCCCTTTCCCGCTCATGCTCTCTCTCTCTCAAAAGTAAACATTAAAAAATAATCATAATAAGTAAAAATAAAATCTTTTAAAAAATCGTATTAATTGACAATCAGTATTAGAAACTCTTGGTCTCCCATATATATAATTTACGATGGTCATAATACAGTCATCTCATTTCTAGTTTCTTTCATCTTGTAATATTTCTGCTACTTTGTTTTCTTGTCCGGTTGCAATTAGCCTGAGCCTCCAAGA